GCTGCCCCAAAAATAATACAAACTAATATAACACCTGCAACCAACCAAACTGACATACAGCTGACTGATTGGGGGTGTATATTTGGACCTTGTTTTCATTTGGGTGTCCTGGCTTGCTGGTATACGACTTCTGCCCGACCCCTTGGGGGTGGGGGGGGGCGGCAGTGATGGCAGATGCCAGTTGTTCTGTTAGGGAGGGCAGATGCATTTGACTGTAATGTCCTCCAAGAATCACTCACAGTATATTGCCAGCATTAAGAAGCAAAAGACAATTTTGAAAACTGATAAGTTATTTATGGAATGCTTTGCAGTCACATTTCACAATTTTCATCAGAATCAGAATCAGTAAATTCACCATATATTTTTACAAATATGTAACTAACTCTGATTTCTTGTTTAGACTGTCCTGCTTCCACAATCTTGATAATTTTTTTCTGTCATTAACTTTCGACGAGCGATTCGACCACCCGGCCCACCCGCATGAAGAATCCATCAAGAAAACATGCTGACGTCTGTTCTCAGCACACAAAGTTGTAGCCCACATAAGATCACAGGGTGCAGGCCTCTTAGTAACTCATCAAGTCTTCAGTTTTTGGGCCACAGTTGAAGAAAGTAATGGATGCCCTCAGTCTCAATATTTAATCTAGAATGAATGTCTGTTATCTTAGTCTAACTCCATACCCTGTTTAGTTCTGCTTGCACTGAGTAAGCTGCTATACTGTACATACTCAGGCGAGCCACTATGAATATCTGTCATTAGTCAGGATCATCATCGCCCCTTTGGGTTCCCTTGCTCTCCGGCAATGCCTGGGTGCTACCTGGAAAGTACCACAGACTGCCCTAGCAGAAGACCATCGTTCTGTCTAATTAAGTTCTAGCAGCACCTATATATACTGTCAGAAAAAAGGGCACAACCATGCTCCACGTTTGTTCCCCAAGACACCAGTGGTGTCACGATATGCTGATATTGACAACAACCGTTATATTTAAAAAATGGAGTATTAAAAATATGCGGCAGTATTACTCCTTAACTGGTTTACACCAGAGCCTCATTTGTAAACTCTGAGTTACTGCAACTAATAAATAGCACTGAGGCCAAGTGCGACCATCATTATGTATAGAGGCAGCACACACTGACTTTGAATGATGTCTCTCACACACACAACAATAAGGCAATGTTTACTATCGACACCCATTAGTTATCAAGCTGAAAGACAGACTTACCCTGAATGAATGCCCTGTATGGAGTATGTCTGTGTATGCTGTGCGATTGGTCAGTACCTTGAAAAGGGTAACTCATCTATGGTCAGTAGGTGAGGTCAAGGGTAACTCCATCTATTCTACTGCCCAAAATTGGATTTTTCTGTGCGTGTCAGATAAAAAAACATACTATAAAAATATCCTTCCATTTTAAGGAAAACCATATTCTTTACATTTACAACAAACTACAGTGGTCATTTTACCATTCAGCAAGTTAGCGATTCCACTAACTGAAAAAAAAATCAGTTTTCTTTGCTTGTCATTTTAAGTTTTCAACCCAGACATCCATTTTCAGTTTTCGGAGCAATATTATTACCTGAGCATCCCATTTGGTAAATATTACTCTATTTTGTCATCAGTTTAAATTGCTGCAATCCAGCAACATGGTAGCTTGATGTGTGCCGACTTATAGCTTTGGTTCACTCTGCCCTGAAATACGAAGTTTGTTGTATTTTGCATTTGTTGCAGCCATATTTATATCACTCCAAATCAGTGGGATCAGGAAAAATAAATAAGATACATTTCTCTAGTTCTTTGTCCTATTGGAGTGAGACTTTGCTGCAGCATCATAGTGCCAACTGTCCGGGGTACCTAATGAGACCCAGAAATGCACACTCAGAGAACAGGGCAGGTTAATTAAACAAGCAGAATCGGAATATCTGGCTAATCCCATTCGGGGCTGGTGGAGATTGATTACAAGTGCTCCGTAAAATGACCCTGATGTCATTAAATGGAATATTAATATTGTCCCTAAAGGATTTCGGAAAAAGTCGGGGTGCTGGAGACCCCAGTCTGCAGGAAGTACCAATCAACAGTAAGCTGAAAGGGGGAGCTTTAGCCCTGGGTGTCTTTTCGCTATCTATAGCATAACTGCTCATTTCCTATGCTTTTATACAGTTAGGGTTAGGGTTAGGGAGAGTTAAACCCTAACCCTAACTTAGTTTAACCCTAACCCTATCTATAGCATAACTGCTTATTTCCTATACTTTTATACAGTTATAGTTACAGACTCTCCACCTCACTACACTCACATTTGGCCAAAAAATAGACAAAACACACGATAAGCACATTTAAAGATGAACCTGATTGGTATCATTATTATAATCATTTCATTCAAATTTTCTACAGATACCGCAATAATATTGTTATTGTTAATTCTTTTGGCCAGATAATCATGTCAAATCACGACTGACATCATGGCTGCTTCAGTACAAACACCATTAATGTACCCACAATGATACAAACATTTACCTACAACTAGGGTAGAACTGACAGACCCTTGAGGGCTGAGCCACAGGGACAAATAACTGTACCCTCAAAGGTACAAACTGGTCATTTTTTTGACAGTGTATTTCTATACGCCCAGGGGGTTAAGTAAACATTATGATAATCTGTGATGCAGTTCTGGTTAAGTTATTGTCAAGTGCTTTGGAGAAGCAATGCCAGGAAGGAAAATACATCAAAATTAAATTTCATTCATTGAACTAAACAAAACTGAAACAAACTGATTACAATAGAATAGAATAGAATAGAATAGAATAGAATAGAATAGAATACTACAGTAGTAACAATGGCAAAACCTACAGGCAAACCATATAACTCATACATGACTTAGACTCTGACTGGATGCTGCTCCTTTCAGCTTATCTGGCTTGATTTACGTTCCATTACACCAGAATCTTAAATGAGGAACACAGCTATATACGTCTTAACACTGGAATTGGACGCTTCAATGCATGAAGCTGTTCTTCATCTAACACTGTATTCCCTGCCCCAGAGTTACAGCTGGTGCCCTGATACAGCCCCTGTCATCCTGCTAACTGCTGTTTTCTTGTTGTCATAGATGGCAGTTATATCTCAGCATAAGTACAGAATGACAAGCAGGGGCAGCCGCTCGCGTCAGCCGGCACGCCTTGCTGCTACGGTCACGGCCGCAGGCTGCGACACACGCCCTTCCTGCAGGCCGCTGGAGCGTGTTCGGCGCGGGACATGCTCTCACATCACATCAGAAATATCTGCAGCTTGTGTATTTTAGGCAACACGAAATTTCTGCCCTACTCACGTCAGCAAGCAGACAAACTATTTGTGGCATGGCATTCACACCTCCTTATTCACACAAGGCGTACTTTTGGTCAAGATGCAAGAATCACACTGGTTTTACTCTTTCTTTGGGCTGTCAAACAATACAATCCAGTGCTTTTAACCTCACTGGTACATTGCTCTGGATAAAAGCATCTGCTAAAATATGTAAATGTAAATCATTTCTCATAATCAAATAAAAATAGATTTGATAGCCTGTGGGAGGTATAGTACATTTGCTCTGGTGTTGTATAATGACCATAAAGTTGAATTGTAAAGATGATGGACTTGGTTTGGGTGATTTTTTTGATCACCAGCCTCTTGCTTCCAACTAACTGCTCTGATGACAATGTTGAGGTTAAGAAGTCATTTGATGCATGACAGGTCCTCCACGCATCATTTCCTGACCTGAGTCAAAATAACTTGTACTGGGTCCCCATGACATGCAACCCCTCCCACCTTGGGCCCAGACCTGGCACAACAGCCCCAGCTGCTCCCCAAAGTGACGGGCCAGTGTGGGGATTCCCAGGCCTGGACCCCAGTGTGTACAGTGCTGTGGTATATTGCACTGCTTTTAATTGCATCTCTTAGCAGCAGGTTTGTGTTTTACAAACAAAGAGCCTCTTGATTATTTATCCCTCACCTCTGCCCCTCTGTCCAGTATCTGTGACCCCCTGCAGCACCCTGCCTCTCTACATACATTATTAGTAGGCAAATCACCATTTCGGGTTAAACATACAATTCAAACAAGGTAGTAGCTTAGCATCAAGGGCTGGATTCAGTGGGGGCATTGGGGGGGGAGGTACAGGTGAGGTGAGGTGGTCTGTGTGTAGGGGTGGAGTCAGAGAGAGGAACAGGGCATTACATATGGTGAGTGTGAAACTGTAACATATGCAGGCTGGACGCTGTCTTATGAAAAATGGCTAATTATACCTTGACCTTTTCTCTCACTTCTCCCTTCACCTGCTGAGGGCTTGTGGGCTGTTTTTACCGCTTATCACTGTTTTTAGTAGTGAATCTGGTCCCTTCCAACACAATGCATGTTACTGTTCTTTTCTAGGAGCCAGGCCAGCTGATAATATCACGTAATTACCTCCTAATTTTTGAGATTATTTTATTTTTTTTTAAACAGAGGTATTTCAGCATTTTCTCATCCTCCCATTCACATCTGCGTCTGATAGCTGGATACTTGGATCTGCGTTGTAGCCAGATGCTCAGATCTGCGTTGCAGCCAGATGCTCGGATCTGCGTCTCAGTGTCCGTTTTATTGCCATCTTCTCTGCCAATGCATTTTGGAATAGGGCTATTCAAATCACGGCCCTCAGGGGCCAAGACCTGCTGATTTTCCAGCCTTCTGTTACCTGTGAGTCACGCATGAAGCCTCTGTGGCCAATCAGAATCAGTAATTAAACTAACTGCCTGGGAGAAGTGAAAACAAGGCCTGGATTTGGAATCCAGGGCCATTTTGGAATAGGGCATTTTAGACGATGAGCATTTAGTTATTTTGGTCATGCCATAATGGTGACTGTGACTTTCTTTGTCGCACAGTTTGCAATGATAATACTGTAATGTATCCATGTCTCATTAGTTCAGAACAAGACGTAGAATGGTAAGAATGTGTTAATAATGACATTTTAGGGGTAAAAACTAAGTGACCACAGTTGCTTTAAGAAAGCCTTTATTAATGCAGATTTTTTTTTTCCATTTCAATTTCATTTAGTTTGCAAAACAGTTTATTATGAAACTACAAACGCTCATTTAAGAAAGGAAGCACACAATCAGACAAAGAGAAACATGTGTTGTGCTAATTCAGCTACTGGAAGGACAGTTAGAGGAATGATGCTCAGAGGTCAAGCAAAAGTCTGGAGACTTTTTTTCATCACTTTTTTGTCAACATATGATAAAGGAGAACTGATTTTTCTGAACGTAGGTGGGTGCATCATCCTGGACACTAGGCAGCTATATAACCATTGCCAGGTTTGCTGTCCTGTCCAAGACAGGCAAGGGGGATTGGTGGCTCAGACACTGATTGGCAGGTTCTCTGTCCTATCTGAGACAGGCTGGGGAGGGAATGGTGACTCAGGCAGTGATTGGCAGGTTCCTTATTCTCTCCAAGGTGGGTGAGGAGGGATTAGTGCCTCAGATGGTGATTGGCAGACTCTTTTTTCCTATTTGAAGCAGGCAGTGGCAGGATTGGTACCTCAGACGGCGACTGGTAGGTTCCTTGTCCTGTTTGAGGCAGGCAGTGGGGGACTGGTGCCTCAGATTGTGATTGGCAGGTTCCTTGTCCTGTTTGAGGCAGGCAGTGGGGGATTGGCTCCTCAGACGGCGATTGGCAGGTTACTTGTCCTGTTTGAGGCAGGCAGTGGGGGACTGGTGCCTCAGACGGTGATTGGCATGTTCTCTCTGAAGCTGAGGCGCTGTGGCACGGAGTAGCTGCAGAGTTCCTGGAAGATGCGTGCCACTTGCTCGTTCTGTGACTCGTCTGCCATGTCCATATTCCCACTGTACGGGGACCGATGGATATTAACCTCTTCCAGCAGCTGCTGGCAGGTGAGTGGGGTAATCTGCAAAGGCCAAGAAGGGATCAGTCGGCACCATGTGGCTAAAGTGACGCCCCATTCGGGCATGAAGCTCTTATATCTAGGTAAATGGGAAATGTGGTCATCCAATAAAAGTTCCTGATAGCTGTCCCTCATTGGCTTACCTGAACGATTATCAGCTTGTTCTTGGCAGTGCTGATGTCGTGGAACTCTTCCCCAAAGCAGAGGGTGACGTTGGGGTCAGGTGCTGGATAGTGACCATCCCGGTACATCTGCAGAGCTGCAAATAACAAATATGCTCACAATACAAGGACTGGAATGACATTAATTTGCCACTTCACAGGTGGCATTGTCAAAGCCATAAACCTTTTTATTAATGTCATGTGATCTTTGGGAACCACAGGGCTTGGATGACCAACCCACCTTGCAGGAACCTGCCGACGTCAAAGATCTTGACGACGGCGTCCCTCTCCAGCTTGCAGGGCCCGGAGTTGTACTGGGAGCCCTGGCTGCTCCAGAAAACACGGCTCTGACACAGGCGCTTGATGAAGATGCCCTCGCGGTTGGCGCGCACCAGCACGCCACGCTCCAGGTGTCCGAAGAGCTTGCGGGTCACGTGGCGCTGGCGCTCGTGCTCGATCAGCTCCACCGACGGGAAGCGAATGTTCTGTAGACTCTCGGGCCCATAAAGCGACTCCACGGCCACGGCGGGCGGCGGCAGCGAGATGCGGCAGCCCTCAGGGTGGGTGCTCAGCGTACTGCCAACCAGCTTCCCACCGTAGAAGAAGGTGACCATCATTTGGGAGAAGGCTGCGGGGGAGAGAAGCAGGAGCTGTCTTTATCAGTCCAGGAAGTTCTCAGAATTCCATGAATGCAGTACACACCAGTTTCCAGAGTATTTTTAATCATGCTGTTAAAACACACATGCCGTAAACATACAAACCTGCACTAAAGTTCCCAGTTGGAGGAGGGTCCTGACTCACTGGGATGGCTGTGAAATGGAAAGGAAATGATTCCTTAGCCCGTACACATATTCGCATGTAAAAAACAACAACAGCATTAATTTGCTGAAATCCACTTCCGGAGCTGTCTGACTAACGGCTGTGCTGCTGAAAACCGTGAGAGAAAATCTAGACAGAAGTGACCTTTAAATATCTTTCGTGTGTTCATCAAAAATTCAGCTGTTCCAGCAAAAAGAAAAACCATCTTCTGGCCCAAATCCAGACTGGCAGTCAGCAAAGTGATAGAAAATTAGCTGATCCTTACCTCAAAAATATATAGAGCTAGTGAACACAAAGTTATTCACAGTTTATGCATTTGGCTAAAACGGTTATGAAAAACGCAGGTTTTAAAATGACATGCAAACATAAGATCAGCTCTATACTTGTTAAATGGGTAAAAACTCTGGAAAACATAAATCACTGTGGGTCACACAAATCTGTGATAAAGTATTCAGTTCATACAACTGTGAAGGTCCAAATGTCACTATTTAAAACTGCATTTAGAATATGAGAACTTTCCTGTATTTTGAGGTAGTGCAGTTACGTCAGTGTAAACGTTTACTGTAACTGTTGTTATCCAGGCTGAAGGCTTGTCTGGTGCAAGGAAGCTTACATCGCAGGTTACCATGTGACCACCACTCCTGGGCTGGGGGGGTGGGTCTGGGGGCCTCCTCTGGGGAATGGCTCTTCTTGATGATGCCCAGGTATTCATCATGTGAGGACTGTGTGGGTCAAAGAGAGTCATTATTCACACAACAAGCCTGGATCCCAAAGACCAGCCAGTACAGGCGTATGTGTTTCCAGAGGACACCGGTGTGCGAGACAGCAGGCCGCTGGGGTATGAAGGCACTCACTTCCTTGATGAGCTCCTCCAGTTCAGCAGCACTGCAGTCCATGCTGTGGACGTCGCTGGAGCCCCCTCCTCCGTGGATCACCACAGTCCCTCTGCCTGCTGGGATCGAGTCTTTGGTTTGTTTGGTCCACATCCCGTCAACTTTATAATCCTTCGTAATGCTCACAATAGCTTTTAGCATCATGAGAGTGATTGCAGAAACCGAGAGGTGTGTGGACGTGTCTTCGCAGGAAGTCAGCTTTGTCATGACACAAAAACAGAACACCCCCCCCCCCCCCCCAGGTAGCAATTGGGAACTTACTCTTTTGCTCCTCCTCTGGCACGATGCGGTACACCTTGTAAGGCTCAGAGATGTCCAGCTGGGACCGGTCGGTCACCTCCTCGAAGTCAGGGCTTTTGTTCAGAGCACAGCGGAGCCGTGTTTTCCAGGTGGCCGGCTCAGCCCTGTCCCCCTCCTTAAACTTCCCTTTAAACACAGCCCAGGCCTGCAAAAAGAAAGGTGGGGGGGGGGGGTCAGTCACTGGCTCAGAGGCCTTCATAGATTCAAGGTAGTGTGATGCTCGCACACTTCATGGGTATTTTAAATCTTCTGCTCCTCTCTGAGGTGCTCAACACTAATTTCATAAATGCAATAATTACTTATGCAGCGTTGCACTTTGAAACACGTCATATGGTTCGCCCACTGTCAGGTAAGCAGACTGAGCAAAGGCATTATAACACAGGGATAACCCCGCGTGCTGCAGGCTTTCGGTCACGCGGTAAAACGTCCACGTATCTCCAGTTTACAATGTCGCTAAACTAAGCGAGTAACCGCCCAGCTCTTCCGTCGTCAGGCGTAGCTGACCTTGTAACTACAATAGTACTGCTGACACATTAATCACTTTCTCATGAAGTTGTTGAGATTCCCCCAATTTAAAATACTAAAATAACACAAATGACGTTAATCTATCACTGAAGAGCGATTAGTGATAAAGCTACATTCTGTAACGAATCCATTTTAATATTTCGGGCTGTTTAAAATCTCGTTTAGAGGGTACATTATGAGCGTTGTTTGTAATAACTAAGGCGTGCATCCTGGATTCTCAGTCAGGTGGATTTTTCCTGAATATAGCCCTTTGCACAAAACAAACATCTTACGGCAAATAAATAAATAAATAAATAAATAACACACCAAACAACATGTCATATGTTAATTAAACAAATTGAACTATGGTAACTAAATGTGCTTTAACCGTTACTCTTATACCCGTTCATTTGATAGGCTAATTCGATAAAATGTCCTATTTTAATGCGACACGTGCCTATAAGAAAACCGATATTTCTGGCAACATGCATTTTATGTTTCAGAAGATACATGCTAAAACTCGAACACAGCACAACAGGTTTGTGGAAACACTTATAGGTTTTAGTGCAATCTGGCATCGCACTGCTCCCGACAGCTCGCGCCATTTATGTGCGAAATGCAACTGTATCGTGTAGTTCTTTAACCGTAAAGAAAGAAAATAAGGATAAATGCGTATTTGAGCTTGCGTATGTGTGACAGCCGGAAACTTCTACTTTGAGTGTTATTTCAGCATACAGACGGACGTGCTTCGGTCCGAGAAAAGGTTTTTACAACACGTGCGAACACACATCACACGCAAAGGTAAGACTTACTTTGAAAATTGACGCATCGATTTCTTGGTTGTAGTCCTGTTTCCCCGCGTGTTTCCATGGAATTCGGAACATGGTCCGATCCTCATCTTCCCACAACAGCCCCGGGTACCGGTTGCTGTGAATCTGCTCTATCAGCCACTGCCTCAGCCTCCGTCCGCTGGGGTTTGCGGTCATCTAAAACACAGAGCGTGTACATTTGAAATTTTATGATTTCATTTCATATCAAACATATCTACGAGTGGCACGAAAAAAGAATCCCACACTAGTGCAAATATTTGAAATGCTACGATTTTTTGATATAGAACAAAAATCAAAGATATCTATTTAAAGAAAAAAATATCTAAATGTGAAATTATCTATAAATAATATAGATGATACAATAACTATAATGAACTTTCAAGAAATACTGTGTAATAGCACAAAATAAGTATGTGCAAATTGTATTTTGCATAAAGTGCGTTATGTATAAAATTGTGTATGCAGTGGTCTAAAAAATATTTCAAAAAGTAATTGACATTTACCTTAGTGGTAGGAGTTTAGATCTCAGCGAAACGCAAACCGACACCAAATAGATTCTTACGATCTAACAGGCGTGCAAATAAATCAATCTCAGCCCGGTACCCTAAGTTTATCGGTTCATTCACAAGAAGCTAATTGGAGTATCGTGTTACGTCGTCGCTGTGACGCTGGCCAATCAGCGGCTTTGTCTGTTCTTCGAACCGGAGCGTATTCCGAGAAATCACACGCGGAGACGCCGCATCTCAGGTTTGGTATTTTCTGTTTCATTGAGCCCTGCGAGGTGGGGACAGGCATCTCATCGCGAGACGTTTCTGCGTGCGCGCCACAGTATCGGAATATAATGTCAATTCCTTTCGCAGGATATCATCACAATTTTCATAAGTGCGGAAGGCTTCTCGCTTGTTTTTCTTCTTTTTCCATCTTTGTAGGTGACAGAATCAATGTGTAAAAGACAAACACTGCACAATCAACAGTATTTATGATTTAAACTTAAAAAGGTGATATTGATAAATAACGTATTATAAATATCCATAAAATTCATGTTCTGCCCACAGGACCACGTATCCTGTTTACGTACTTTATTCGTTTGTTTTAAATAAATCTTTTCCTCCAGTGTTTGCTCCTGGTATGAGACGTTGTTTATGTCTTATTTTTAATATTTAATTTCGTACTCGGGGTGTTCATACATGCCAACCTAACTGCAGTGAAAACGGTGAGATGGCTGACAAAGCAAAACCTGTAAATCAAGGCACGATACATTTCACCGAGCTGTTTTATGTCCCCGAGATTAAATTTGGCGCATATCAACCCGCCAGATTTGCATCTCAAGCGTGAGTCTTAATATCTGTGGGTGTTACGTTTGTGTTGTGAAGAATGACTAATAAACGAATGTAGGAATTTGTAATTTTGATTATCTTGCCTCCGAGTTATAGTGTTTTAAGTAATGCATATAATATATAGCTAATATGCATGCAATGTATCTATAAAATTTGACAATTCAAATTAGTATATAACAGTGTAGCTGGCATGAAGGCTCAGTGGTTCGCACTATTGCCTCACACTTACAGGGACATGAGGTTCAAATCACCTCTGCTTTGTTTATCTGTTTGTGAAGTTTGCATCTTCTCAGGACATGTGAGTTTCCTCCAGGTACCCTCATTTTGTGCCATAGTCTGTCACACACACACACACACACACACACTTCCTATGACCTGATCAGCAGTTGGAAGATGCCGACCTGAGCCATAAATTGACAGGTTAAAAGGGGTAAAAATTCGTTCCTTTGCTTGTCACTGGGGCAGTACCCTTGTAATGGCATCTTTTAAGGTACAGAAATGGACTCTGAGGAACATCCCAAAGGTACAAACAGCATTAATGTACCATCTATGGTACACAAATGTTCCTCAGAGGTAATTTTTGTACCTTAAAAGGTACAATTACCTACAGCTAAGGTTACAGCACCAGTGACAAGCAAAGGTACAAATTTTTACTCTTTTCTGTGGGTTGAGGTCAGAAACCAGCTGGCAGAGGCTGTATGTGGTCCTGCTGCAGCTTGCACTGCACAAGTATTTATCTTATGGGATTTGCTTAATGCAGTTCCCTACCTCCTGCAGAAGAAAGTGTGCAACTGGATATACAGTTGCCCATGGAATCTCACTTCTTTATCCACGCAGTAGTGCTTCCTTTTCCTGTGCAGTACTTCCCCTTTCTTACTGAGGTAGCCCGACGAGCACACAGCCACCAGCATTCTCACCTACACAGCCGTCCAAAAGGTCACAGCAGCAAACTCCATCTCCTTCTGCCTACTGTTCTTGTTGGCCTTTTGTTTTCGGGTAGCATTTAGCCGACTCGCTAACAGCATAACACCAGCTCTGCATGTCGCTCGATCTAGTCGACATTAACAGCCATATGTTTAAAGGTATATAAGTTGCTTGGGTTAAAACCGTCTGTACAGTGGATTTTGAAATCGGCAAGCGAGATTTTGCTTTTTAAGATGCATGTTTCCCTACAGTTATTCATTAAGAGGGCTTATCTGCATTTCTAAGCACAGGAAAGGTATAATCTAATATTATATGACCAAAATTCAATATCCAGTCCTATGCCTCCCTTATACTCCCTGCCCCTGCCAATCTATTTTATTATATCATTTATGAATTATCCTCATACCACTTTCGCTTAAGATAAAAGTGTCTGCTGTTCCCTTCTTTGAACAACGATTCTGTCACTCATAAGTCTGTAGTAGTTTCATCCCCCTCCCTTGCTTTTCATATAATAAAATGAGCTTCTCAATTTTATTAGTGTCAGTAATTTAAATGTCTTTCACAGAGGCTGGCTGGTGGCAGTTACTTTGTGCATCAAGCTGCAGATTTCCTAGGTCTGGATTTCCTGTTCCTGCCTGATTCCGACCCTTTGCTCCTCTCTGTCATATCCAAGTACGTTCTGTATATATATATATATATATATATATATATATATATATATATATATATATATATATACACACACACACACACACACACACACACATTATAATGCTTCTCTTCGCCTATCCCATCATGCTCTGGTATCCCATCATGCTCTGGTATCCCATCATGCTCTCCTTTGAGACACACATACATGCAGCTGAAAGCAAAGGCTGGGCTCCAAGCACAGGCTCAGATCATTAATCTGGCATCTGCCCCCCCTGGAGCATTTCGGAGGGTTAAGCACCTTGCTGAAGGCCCTATTAGAGATGTGATTATTCTGCTAAGGCCGGGACCTTCCAGCAACCTTCCAGAACCAGCGGCCTTTCAATCACAGGCAGAGCGTTCTAACCTGCTGAGGCAATATAGTATAATTTATTGTAGCTGTATTGGCTCAAGCTATGTCTGTAAAAACGTTAATGTTCGTAATAAAGTATTAAAGTGCCTGTGAGGGAGGGGGGAGTATGGATGTTTCAGGCAACAAGCCCCAAATTCACTGATAGCTGATTATTAATTTTTAGAGATAAAAAAGAACTCCTTGGGTGTGAGAGACTGGGAACTATGTTGCAATTCTCTCCACTAGTTGTTAGAACCAAAAAAGATTTCCTGGATATTTGCTTAACTTCCACCGCCTGTTGTATCCTGTTTGTGCTAATAAACCACCTCTTCCATTCTCTGATCCCTTTGTCACGTGGATCTATGTACCATCCCAACAGATGCAAATTCGTAGTCTGATATCTACTGCTTCTGGCATGTCAATGAGGAATCCACACAAAATTGTAAAAGCATTTTTGAGCCTTTTCCGGAGTCCATATAATTTTTAAAGTCTTAAGTCTTTCCAAGTCTGGACATTTTTTTTTTAGTCTGATAATGTCACTCTACACCCTTAAGCAGTTCCTGTCTGCCACAGACTGCTGCCGGTTTGGTTCATGCCTTCGAAGCTCTCTGTACGCTGGCCAAATGTCGTGCCCATCCAGTCACTTCTTTCCACCTCCTGGTGAAATACTTCCTGAGAAGTAATTAGGATCGTGTGCTACACTCGAATACACCCTGTACATTAGCTATTCCTAAAGCACCCCTAGTTACTCACTTCTGCATGTCAATTAAGCAAATTTTCAAGAGTGAAATGCATTCTTAAGAATTCTTGTGACTTAAGAATTGCATTTTTTTGTGCTCTATAGCTGGCGTGACACAAGCTTGATCTGTTTTAAAATACAGGGTGTTAGAACATATGATCATATCAAATGGTACTGTCGTATCAGTTTACATTGACAGGATAGCCCATATGAGATAGCCCATATGAGAGTTCAGTATTACAAGTGTTGGGGCTTTTTGTTTCATTTTCTGTTCCATACACACACACACACACACACACACACTGAGTATTCCCATAATATATTTCAAATGGATTCCTAGCCGTGTAAAAGCCGTTGTGCTATTAAGGCCATTGTTCACGCATGCTTATGTGTACTGGCAACATGATAGCATACTGGAATGTTTTCAGCCGGAAATGGTTAATTATCCACATCAATACCATAATAAACTTCATACAGAAACTCTGAAATGCGGATGCATGAAACCAGGGTCACGTGACACTGGGCTTGTTTTAGGATGTGAGCATTTATGGTTTAGCGTTAACCTTTTGGTGCTGATGTGATGCGCATCCTGGCCATCGATACACACGCTGTGCAAACAGATAAGCAGTGATGCGAGATCAGCACTGGCAGTCACCAGTGACAGGAGTATCTATTGTTGACAGCTGGGCCAGTGATGTGTTTGACCTGCATGTTGTGGGCCTAGAGCTACTGGAATGCTCTGTTATGCAAAGCAAGGCCTACAGTGTGCGGCCCTCTGCTACAGATAGAGCTGAGAGAACTTCAGGGATGCAGAGGATGGCTGACCCCTCTGATAATCCCACGATGCTGCACGCACTGTCCTATCACTATGCCCCTCCCCCCACAGTGGACCCTCTGTTCCTTTGGGGGTGTGGCCTAATGACTGCTTTGAGGAAATAGCTGTGAGAAACGTACGCCCTGGTACCTGCCACACCAGAGTGGCAAACAAGCCGCACTAAGGAACGTGCCAAGGTTTCGCTAGCAGTGGACCTGACTCCTCTTCTCCTTTGAGGTGCTGTTCTGTGAAGACCATTGTCTTTTAGAGGAACAGGAATTAAACTGAAATTCAATTTCATCTAAAGGACAGTGATAAATTCAGAAAAAATGTTGGTATTTTATTTTAACTAGTAAAGTAAAATGAATGTCCTTAAATTCTTTGTGATACTTCCATGGTTTTTTCTCTTGGTGAACATTAGAATGAGATGGTGGTGAGGATGACACCCCCATTTTAAAGCCCATACAGGTCCCTGTGGCGCGTTTGCAAACAATATTGTATTAGAGAAGAATGTAAAAGACCATTTAAGTTAATGAATCATCTCATGGACGGGCTGAGCCTCTGCGCCTGTGATCAGAAGGTTGAACCCGGTTCGAACCCGGGCTCGGCCTGTCTGCGGGTCCTTGAGTAAGGCCCTTAAACCCCAGCTCCGTTGCGATGGTTGGCTGCCCTTTGTGGCCAAGCTTGCTCTCGTGCAGAGCAGAATCAAAAGAGGATTTCCCCTTGGGGATCAATGAAGTATCAACTATTATTATGAAGGTGACTAAAATTAATATGTATTGCAGAGTTCTATCTCATGAAGTTTTTGTGATCACCAGAGGCAGGGATGGACTGATGCACCAGGGTCCAGCCCCCCCCCCCAACTGC